GTATTAAACTTGCTTAGATGTTCAACACTATACAGGTACTGACACTCTTCCTTATGGGGATTGAAGGCACTTCTGCACAAGGGAAATATCTCTACAACTCTTACATAAGATTACTTGAACACAATTTGAACAAGAGGAACTTTTCTTCCACTCTTTACACAAAAGATCTTAAAATATTGGGAGCAACAATAGATAAATAAAAACTATCCTTCCGATTCATTCACTATAGCACAATACAAAAAATTGTTTAGCTATCTAAATATTTATTGACTCAACAAGTCCTTATATTAAAATAAACAAGGGGTTTAAACAAGTGATTATGCGCTTAACTCTTCTGTTGACGCCCAAATGGGAACAGCATACATTGCTGATCAGATTTACCCCTAAGGAGTCATCTAAAAGATGAATGTCTTATCCACCTAATCAAATTCTACCAATAACTAGATTTTTATCCCTCATGGGTCAAATTATGCAATAAAGTTTTTTAACGCCTTTATCCAACCACAGCAGATAACCTTTTTAATCTAGCAACAAGCTTAAGTAATGGGACCACTTATAAGTAAATTGCTGTCACATTACATTAGCTACCCACAAACTATTGTCAATAAAAAGCGTTTTCAACTCTTCAGCAACTGCTAAAAACACCTTTATTGATTATAGACAAACCTGTGATCAATATGTGCAAAAAAGTTAATTCTGATAGTTGCCAACAAATGAAATTTTTCAAACTTTGTCAGGGATCATCCCCAATTAACATTGATTATCTGCCAGAATTAAATACAGCAAAATATTCTAATAGTCTTTAAAAAGCCCAAACAAAACATGTCAATTAATGATAACTCCAACATCCAATATAAGGCTTCTTAGTTTCAGAGCAAACTCCAATAGACCAAAAAGTTATGTTATTCCAATTTATTATGGCTGGATGATTTAGCACTCCAAAACTCAACACATCCCCCATCTTGACCAGATTACCCATCAAAAATAGAATTTCAGAGGCATTTGTCACTTTGTTCTGTGGCTTGAGTCAGTTAATATGATTAAAATTAATTTCAGCGGGGCTAGAACTATTTCTCACTCTTGATGCTTCTTCCTATGCCATTTTTGATATCATGGATAATAATTCTCTTTTTCTTCACATGTTTATTACCACCTCACATGAGAGCAGTTCCATGGCTACACCATGTAATAGGACTACTTTTGACAATCTCAATAAAATCTCTTGAACGCCTATTTATCTTACAAGTCAGGGCTCCCAGTACATGCCATACCAGGATCTCTCAGTTAATCTCACCAACAATAAACTTTTTAAACGCCTGTTTTCACCAGGTATGGGTCCTCACAAACTAACGTTGATGGATCTCTGATTTCTCTTTCTTGACTTTCATTGTCTTCAAAATGGACCTAGTTCCAAAGAGTCTATCCCTACAAACTTACCCCCACTGAGTCATCTTCACTACTACTGTAGTACATCTCCCTTCTCTCAGCAACAATGGAATAAAAATGATTCACAATCCATAAACTCATGACACAATTAAAATCCAATAGTATATAATTATTCAATTTTTCATATGACTTGCACATTAAAGTCATTTTTTTCATATTATTCTTTTCGTCATAAGTTTTCTCTTTGTTTTTTATGTTAAACTATTTTATTTTTTCTCTTAGATCCAATAATTTAAGTATTTAATATACTTATTCACTATAAACCCATAAGCAATGTTTTTTAATTATTATAGATATCTGTTACTTAATCAGCAATAGTTTTAAACTAACCCAACCATAAGGCATTCATCCATAATCTGTCATAATTTTGACAGGACCTACTCTAAATTAATAGTTAAAGCAAGCACTCAATGTATTAAGTATCATGGTAGCATATTTATCATTAAATTTTAGTTCTTTATGAACAGATTGTTCATTTTTCTCTTCAAAGTAATCTTTATCAATCTCTGGTGTGCCTAACGTTTTAATTAGGCCAAAAAAAGATCTGGAATTGGTCCTTACTTATGTAAATCATAATAAAAAAATTAGCTTCATTATATTTTGATTTGGTTGACTTGTTTCTGTTCTCAGCATTAATTTCTTTTTCATTAACTGAAAAGTGTTAGGCTGAGTGCCCTCTTTCACAACGGATAATTTTGATTATTTTTGTTTTTTCTTGCTCTCCTAACATTATTTTTAATTAAAAAATAGTGCTTGCTAAAGTGAATAGTATCTAGGTTCTTCCATAAAAAATCTGATGTATATAATACTTCTGACCAGATATCTGGTTGAGCAGGGTTTGTTGCAGTACTAGATTGTTCCATATCTAGACTGCTAACTATTTTCCCAGACCTTGAACAGTTACCTTTTCTTAAAGCAATAGAAGGTTTACATTTTATATAGACTTTTACCCTAACATTGGGCGGCAAAGTGTACATTTGCACTACATTTTTAAACAGTGGTTAGGAGGTTTCTCCGTCTATTTAAGAACATTGGGTTTCTTCCACATTAAAACTCAGTTCTGGAGATTGTTAAAATTTCCTATTACTACTTGATTATTAATTTTTGCATTATTGTCATTTAATTTACCCATAATCTGATTCTCATCAATGAGAATTTCTTTGAGAGTTCAATTAGGAGCATTGAATGTTGAGTCTAACACCTTTATATACTTCACCATTTGCAAAGTGGTAGTTTTGGTTTAAAGCGCTGAAGCCATGGCGCAGTGCAGTTCTCAGTTTGGATGAAGTGCCATCTGCATAGCAATACAAGAATTAAATAAAAAACATTTGCAATAGTCATGATTTGAGCTTCCTGATAAAATGGATGGCAAAGATAGCTAAGGTCTCAACCTTCTTAAATTTTATGTTCATAAACTCTTGTTAGCAGCTAGCCATCTGTTATGGGATATTCTAACTCATTCATGATTGCTTCTTTGGCGCCCTTGTACCGCTAATTATCGCCATTGAGGTGGGGTAACTTAAGATTTTAGTTTTTCTAAGTCTAAAGAGCTTATAACTATTACTGCTTTCTGACAGTTTCCATATCTGAACATCATCATTTCAAATTACAATAAAAAGGTTGGGGCATGGTATAGTGAAATTCAGGTAGCTTTGAAGTTTTACAAAGTTCTTCAGTCACTAATGTGACAGCGGTACTCGACTGTTAACCCTATTGACCACTAAGGTATCCTTAGGAGTCATCTATAATAGTGCTGTAAAAGCCCCAGGAATGTTCTTAAGAGCGGTAATCTATTAAAAATACACTTTTCTATTTTATTTCTGTCAGCTACATCCACTTTCATCTAAATACAGTTGCACTTATGGCTTTCAAGGCCTTTTAAATGCTTTAAGATTTGGATACATTATTATGGTGCTAATAAAATCGCTCATTGTCTGCTTCTCAAGCACTTATAGAGAATTAATTCCTTGATTACTTCAGTCTCTTTCATCTTCATGGAGGTGACTTTTCCATATAGACCATTTTTGACCTTTTATATCTCCTCAGCTTTTGTTATTCATTTAAGGTAATTAGATCATATTGAAATGCTAAATTCAAAGTACTTTTATTAACTGTCTCCAATTCAGTTCACAACTTTCAAAGCTCATTTTTTTAATACATACTGCTGATAATTATGTCATGCTATTTGGCCTAGAAAACTCAATTACCCTTGTAGTGATATTGAAATTTAAACTTTATGGGTTTTATTTCATAGGTTTAAAAGTGATTAAAATATTGTTGATTAATTCTAAAGGGTACAGTGATAATTCTATAAATACAGGTATCCAGTTGAGCTCTTCACAACCAATAGTATTAATTATGATTTGATGTCCATTGATAGACAGGTGCTGACGCTCTTCCTTCTGGTAACATAAAAGGAACATCTAAATATGGGAAACTACCCCTACAACTCTTAAACAAGAGTACTGTAACATAATCTATACAACAATGGAATCTTTCCCAGCAACTTTGTATACAAAGATCTTGAGATCTTAAGAGAAATATAGATTAAGGAAGTGGCCTTTCAACTTTAATCCAAAGAGCAAAGTATAAAAATTGTATAACTATTTAAATATTTGTATGATCAACAAGTCTGTCTTTTTAAAATAAGCAAGAGATCAAAATAAGGGAGCTTGGCGCTTGACTCTTCCATTGATGTTCCAATGGAAATGGCATCCATTTCCAATAAACTTAACTCTAAGGAGTCATCTAAAAAAGATGGTACATCACCACCCTTATTGGATTCCATCACTGACAAGATTAAGAGCCCTCCTGGGTTAGATATCAAAAATACCTTGTCCTAATGCTTGTATTCAAGCCCAGCGAATTAATCTTTTCAATCTAACAACCATTTAAGCAAAGAACCATGTACCCATATATTGCAGTCACATTACTTTAGGCTAACCCACAAGTTATTGCCAATTAAAGTGTTTCCAACGCTTAACCAACTTAAAAGCACCCTTCTCATTTATTGCAAAATCTAATAAAACTACAGAAGAAAGTAATTAATAATAATTGGACTATGAACCCTTGCAAACATATTTTTTGGGGATTATCCCTTGACAGAACATTAATTATCTCATGGAATAAAACTTGAAAAAATAAATTTTATCTAAAAAAGAAAATAATAGTTATCAATTAGTGATAGCTCCAACATTTGCTATAGGTTTTCTTATTATAAAGCAAACCCCACTAACCAAAAAAATTCATTATAGTCTATTAAAGCTGTATGTGGGCATTCAACAATCCCAACTGCTGCCAATATAGAAGCTTAAAAGAGCTATAATGGCTTTTTGTTATTAGATCTAAAGTTAAAAACCTAATTGTTATAAATATTATCTTAAAATATGATATTATGTAGATCTTATCATTTATTATTACCATTCTACTACATTTTGCTGTGATTTGTTATGACCTTCTCTTCCTGAGGTTGAAAACAGAAACTTAGATAAATATTTTGTCTACTTTACAGCAGGAACGTTTACTATATACTTTATAAATCATAAAAATGTTATACAGGGGTGGAAGGTGAGTCAATAGGGCATATGGCTACCAACCTGAAGGTTGCGGGTTCGATTCCCGCCCTTTGCACATCGATTGGGGTGCCAGCCAAAGGAAGCTATTGGCGGTTAGTAGGTATAATAACACAAAAACCTTACCCATGACATAACCAGAAAAATCTGAGTCCCAATCCAGAGGTGAAAAAAACTTTCTACGACAGAGTTGACCCTGCTCAGGTTTCATGTCAATACTTTCTTTCTCTATTTCAGTAATGTCCATCCCCTGGTCAGCTTGCCTCGAATAAATAAATATGTTACACTCCAATAGATAAAATTTTTTTTTCTTTTAGTACTAGTGGTGCCCAACCCAAAAGGGGGAGCCACCACGCATCTTTATTCACAAATGGGCCAAACAAAGGGATTATCATAAATTAAAAAATTCCTAATATATCCCCTAGGCTATCATCCTAGGAAAGCATATCAGATAGTGAGGAAGCTTTTGGAAAACTTTTGTCTGGTGCCCACTAAAGCTGGTGGACCATGGCGGACAGCATTGGAGTGGGAGCATCAGCAACATGTGGCATAAGGAGGTATAATTTGGGGTTTTCTTTGTTAATGAGGCCAGCGGTGTCCATTGCCTCAACGTATTGAGCAAGTTGATGCTCAGCAAAATTGATGAGAGCCAGCACATAAGTAAATGACTTGATGTACCATTGGATTTGGGGATAATTGGGGTTGAAAAGAGAAGTTTTGCTGCATCAATACAATCATGGCTTACAATGAAAGCAAGCTCCTAAATTTTGTACTTTGCATCTTCCTCAAAATCATGAGGAAAATAGGGGATAGAAATACCCTCACAAGGAACTACATTGCCCCATGGAGTTGCTGGTGAAGGAAGGTGTTGGCTGGGGCATCTGCAGCTGCAACTGCCATATCATTGATATTTTTATAAATGGGAAACCCATTTTTTGGACAAAAACGGCGGGAATGCGATTCAGGAGGGTCAACAAAGAACTCCTCCAAAGCAAAATTGGGTTTCATGTGGCACGGCCATCTGTCCTCCTCAATCCATTTGAGAGCGTCAAATGGATTGGATTCGCCAGCGCTGGGCCAGCCACCAGAATTGGGGCTGTTGCTGGAGCTGATTGGCCACATGCTGTCAATTATGGCAGCTCAGCTGAAACTGGTTCAGCCATCAACTCAGGATTCCATAATCTGGTCAAATTTTTTAAAATTTTTACTTTTTTAAATTTTGAATGGCAGCTGCTTTAAAAGCAGTGTCAGAATTCCCTAATGTTGGGGTGGGAGGATTGAGCCCCATTCAAAAAATTTGGGGCGAGGCAGCCACTGGGGTGGCGCCTGATTCCTGATTGGCAGATGCGGTGGAAGTGATAACTGTGGGGCACTTGCGCTTTAAGTGATCAAGCTCAAAGCACAAGGGGTAAATGGCGCAGCCGTTTTTGATGCGCGCCCAGAATGGCTGATCAGGGAAAGATCTGATCACAGTGTGGAGGGAATCACAAGGTGAGAGTTGCAATGAAATAGGCGGATCATTGCAAAGGCGCAAGGCCCTTCCAGCTGATCTGCCCATTGGGAACCACAAACTGCAACATGGGGTCTGCGCCATAAATGGCCAAACCCTCCATGAGCTCATGGCGGAGGCATTTGGGGGAAAGGAAAGAGGGTAACCCAACGAACTGGACCACCAAAGTGGCCTCATCTGGGAGCTGGGTGCAAACGGTGGGAATGAGAATTTTTTTATAAATGATTTGCAGCATGGCTGCTGCCGCTGCATCAGCTTCTGAATGGAAGCCAAGGTCAAAATACCCCTTAAAGGGGTGGAAGTCAATAACTGGCGGGGTTGAAAACTGATGTGGCCATCTCAATGATGGCCACACTTACATATAAGAAAATATTCCCATATTTGACCTAGAGAAGCCAAAATGCAAATTGCTCCGTGAGAGCACCAAAGGGCTCCAGACACCACTTGAGAGCTTGCAAGGTGGTTGGCCAAGTCCAGAGGGGGACATAACGCCCTATAGCATTGGGAGGGCTAGCAGAGCCATCCTGGGCGCGCTTTGGCGGCAGCCAAAAGACGCCTGATGGTGGCGCACCACCACCCCAAGCTGGGGCAGCAGGCATCAATTGCATCGACGTTAGTAAGTTTTGGCTCAATCAAGAAGTTGTTGTTTGTATTTTTTAAAAAATTTGAATTTTGCTTCAATCTGGGTATCAAAGCAAAAAAAGATTTTTTTAATAGGTAAGCTTTTCAATTTTACTTTTACAAGGTTTTTACATCACTTTTTTAAGCCTTAAATATATTTTAACTAATAGTCAATTTTATATGGAGGCATAAAAACAGTTAATAACTATAATTAACTCTTAATAGAAAAAAATTTACCAAGAAAATAAGAAACTAGAATTGGCTATCTCTAGAAACAGCAAGGAATGGAAGAGTACTTTTAAGGTTCAAAGAGATTTATTTATCCTTAGATTAAAACTAATAAACAAAAATTTTACATAATTATATAATTAATGATCAGCACAAACAAAGTATAGTTAAATTAGATAAAACTTGAGAAATTTTTTATGGAAGTTGTTAGATGAAAAATTTCCATAGAAAGACTTATTGGAGAATGTGAATTTTCAAATAGCTCAATCACGAAAATAAGAGTATAATATATCTGAAATTAAAACCTAAACCTATTTTCAAAAGGGCGCTTAAAATTTTAAAAAAATAAAGCATTAAGACACAAATCAATTAAATGGTGGTAAAATTTAGGGGCTTTCCACTGATTGTTCAAGACTGATAGCCCTCAAATTATTAACTACAAAGGTTCAGTTTGTGCACTCTTTGTGTTGTCTGATAACATGGTTTTTGATTGACAACAGTATAAGGCTATTATTTATAGTATCTTAATAAAAAATTATGATCCAACGCTTGGACTGTATTTCTCCTCAAAATACTCTTGATGTATTCAGTAGGGATTTATACTGTTATCCGCTTAACTTGATCCACGCTCAGATCCCTAGTTCATGGCTTTACCTCTGGTCTCACAGAGTCTACAGCAATTCCCATCTAAATTCAGCTTCTCTTCTAAGGATCCTTGATCCTTAATCTTTATCCTACTAAAGAATTTTAATTAAAGCACACAGCAATAATTTCCTGAAGATCAATAGAACCAATAATAAATTCTGCTATTTACACCTCTTTATTAAATTGAATTATCAAAGGAATTTATAGAGGGGATTAGGCGCCCAAACCCAATTTGTCGCCTCAGCATTGAAATGGCAGCAGTTGCCATTGAATTACCCTTTGTCATCTCACCAAATATGGTCTTCCCCATCTAATTAGGATTCAATCATCAGACATCCTTGAGACCTAAAAACTGAAAAAGTCATAAAATGTTTACCTAATGTTTTTTAATTGATCACCGCAAACCAATTATATTTGATGAGCGACCTGCTTAAGTTATGGATCATGTTTCCCATTATGGAAGGTCATGAACCAACTAATCAATTCACTAGCTTCAAGCGACATCACTTGCCTCACAACTTGCTCCTCAAAGTCCCAATTGGTCAGTGATTAAACCTGACTAATCCCAATTGGTACACCTAATAGTTAATCATCAAACAATTATCAGATGCCCAATTTCATCAGCAACCCTTCCCAATGGGATCTTTGGCATTCAACAAGATCTATCCACAATAGATCCAAACCAGGAAAATTACCTAAAATCCCCAAACAATGTAATTCAAAATTGGGGTCAACCATTATCCAATTCATTCACCATAGAAATTTATCCCCTAGCGACCATGGTAATCTAGATGGCTGGAAAGGTAGGCAAAAATCCCAACAAATAAACTTGTCTTTGACATTGAGTGACCAAGTCTTATGCCTTTGTAACTCTTGGGGCTCTAAACCTCAGAAAGCTTAGTACTAGCTATTATAGATAAAAGCCATATTGACTGTTAATAAGAACAATCTGTTTTCAAGCTGACTATGACCTATATATATGAAGAATATAGCTAAAGTAGTATAAGAAATCCTTTTCCACTATGAATGTACTCATAATTTTTTTCTACAGTATCAATATCCTATACTGATCTCACTTTATTTTTTTAGTATCAAGTCTTAAAAGTTTTACTTAATATAAGCTATTATCTTCTAATTTCTCTTTTTTGAGGTCTTATAATATCTACTTATTCAGTTATAACTAGTCAGCACTGACTTTAGCCAATATTTTTTATACGATTTTAAGTACTCATTTAACGCATTGCTATTATATTTTCCAGATTCCCAGCCCTTCATTGAATATATAGCAGCAGATTGTAGATCCAACAAGATAGTACGCACTACATTGGGTAGAGATTACTATACTATAGACTAAAGAAGAAAAAATATGGGAGACAGCACCAGATTGAGTGTCACCAGACTGTGATAAAATAAAAATTATAAATAAATATGATAGTTACTAAAATAGGTAATCATCCTACTATCACTTTTCTCCAGAAAAAAATAAATGTGAGTTCATACCAAAGCCTAGAAACTTTTCCTAGAGCCCACAGATTAGTGAGGACCTGATTCAGGGTACCTGTTGAGATTTGGGTTGACCAACCACATGATATCAACCCCAGTCATAAAGCACCTAATCCTCTATAAACCTTGCCACTACCTCTGTCCCGTTTTATATTATCCCTCAGCACATCAATTCACATTAATCCACTATTGGATAATTCACAAGCATTTTCTGACCTGATTTTCGCATTTAAAGTTAGTTAATTAAACAACTATAGAAGATTGATTCCTATCCGCTTGTTGACTGAATTTCCATCTCCCCAAAGCAAATTCCGCTACCACTGATTAGGGATTTTCAGTATTTTAAGCAAAAACTTTGATGAGAATCCCTGCCAACTATTACCCTAAAGAATTACCCAACACTGGACAGACAACAACTAGTATATACCTGACATTGGACATTTGACCGTCGTATTTAGAACCATTATCAAAGCCCATCAGTGAACCATAAATGGGTTACGCTTAAATATATGGGAGCTTCTGGGAAGGCTGACTCACTAGAGATTAATTTT